TTTTTTTTTAGACAGAGTTTCGCTCTTGCTGCCCAGGCTGGAGTGCAATGGTGTGATCTCGGCTCACTGCAACCTCCGCCTCCCGGGTTGAAGTGATTTTCTAAGGGAATACAGGTGCCTACCACCACGCCCAGCTAATTTTTTGTATTTTCAGTAGAGACAAGGTTTCACCATGTTGGCCAGGCTGGTCTTGAACTTCTGACTTCAAGTGATCCACCTGCCTCAACCTCCCAAAACGCTGGGATTACAGGCAGGAGCCATCGCACCTGGCCTCTGCTTATTCTTTTTAAGAGAAATTAGCTAAGCATCTAAAACATTTTGGATGTTGATTCAGCTGAAGGCAAAGATAGAGACCAGTGCCCAAATAAGCTCAAATCTTCCTCTAACACCCAGAAGAGCCTTGCCTCCCCTACTCCTCCCTCCCATTAGGTAAATAAAGAGGTCAAAGGTGATCCAATCCCAACCACACCCAACTCAAGTCAGAAGTGCTTTTCTCCATTCTGGTCTGTAACTCCCTCCAGCATAACTAAGTCCTTAAACTCGAACTTTTTCTGAACCTTAGACCTCACCCCTTCGTTGCTCATCCCTGCCCAAACTCAGCTACAATCCAGTGTGGAGCTCACACACTGACCAAAACGCAGACAAGAACAGGCTCCTGAGCAGATGTGAAACCAACTCAAACACAACACCACAGAAATGTCTCTCCACTCCACAAAGGAAAATACTAATCTTCAGTGTTCTCCCTCTGAATCCACTTTTCAGCTACCCCCTTACTAAATTTTCCTGCATCTAGAATGTTGTTTCCTACAATAAATCCATATAGATCCAGCCCCTCAGAGCCAACAGCCCTTCTTGCCACACATACACAGCTCCCAAAGCCCAGTCCCTCCTCTGCCAAAGAAAGGCGGGGCCCCTGGACGTGACAAAGATGGCTATGTTTCCTCAAACCCAACAGCCCAGTCCCATGACCCATAAGCACTGACGCCCCTTCACAGGACACAGCCTCCTCAAACCCACATCCGGCTCCCACCAGCTACTCAGGGCAACCACAAGCCCACGCCCCGATGCCCTGAGCCCCTGGGGGCCAGTCACACAGTAGGAAATCCTTCCATACCCAGGAAAGGGAGCCTTTTGCCTGAGTCTGCTCTGGGAAGCTGGAGCATTTAAGGCTGTGCACTCAGTCCTCTTTTTAGATATTGGAACCAAAAAACCAGCCTCACTTCTTTAGAGTCAGCATGTATTTATTTGGCTTCCACTCATCGCTGTGCATTACCTTGCAACTTGTCAGTTTCCGCCTCTCCCCAGATGCACACAACCCTTTGAGGGAAAGAAAGAATACACAGACAGCCGCCACTCTCCTTCCACCACAACCCGCAGGATGCCCCTTTCCTGGAGACAGCGCAGCTCCGTGTGGCCACGCACTCCTGAGCAGCATCCGAGGAGTTCTGCTGGCTGACCTCAAACAAATCCTCTTCTCCCTCTCTGATGCCTTAATACCCTGAGTTGTGTTCATTTTCCTTCACATTCCTAATTCCCAAGTATCATGACTCAGTGGTGGGAAATGAAGACTCGAAGGTCTACAGGCAGGAAAGTGCCTGGGCCCTGGAACGGAATTCAGGTTCTTCATCTCTCCTTTGATCCCAGGACAGTCTGTCCCACTCAGAGGGCAACACAGCTATCAAGGAGGGCACGAAGGAAAAACCCTGGGTGGCACCACCCTGTTAGGAGGAAAAGCAATCGCCTTGCCTGATGCCTGACCCCTGCTTATCCCACCGACACCTGCTTTCCAAGTACCTCTTACGTCTCTCCTCCAAGCCCCCAAACCAGGCACAAGGCGTAACCTTTTAAGGAGAAAGGAAATAACTGCCTATATTCTCCACTGGAATAATATACAAGATCACACTTACCTTTGCCAAGACTGGAACAGTTGTCAGAGAATTTCCTTCCCACCCACCCCACGCCAACAGTTTAAATTGCTTTGAAACACCATCTGGGAGAAATTATCATCACAAATATTTAAAGCTCCAATTTATAAAAAGGCAAAAGAAAGAAAACACACACATACACACACCCTACCTGTGACTCAACGAGTGCTTTGGAACACACGTTTATCCTAAAAAAAAAAGCACACCTAAACACCCCAAAACACTCTTGCAGGTTCCATCTCATTCCTTCCCCAAGAGTATTCTGACCTGTCTGCACAGGTATCTGTGAGAAATGAAAAAAAACACAGTGAAAATATGATGGCCCTCTTATAGGAACTCATGTGAGATGAATGAGGCTCAAAATGCTGGCTGCCTCTTCGGCAGCACAAAAAAAAAAGTCAGCCAAGGAATCACCAGACACAGTCAAACCTTTGCGGTGTGATTCCACGCATCTCAGAGCCTTGTGCTGAATAAAAGTACACCCTATGTAGAGCTGCAACATTTGACTTTTATCTGCCTGCCCTAAAGTACCCAGGAGGATTGGGCCTCCCAGGCCTGGCCTACATCTTGTGAAGGTTACATACCTCAGAAGGTTAAAGCTCAGATCAAGCCTCTTTGCGAAATGTCCACAGTCCCTGCCAAGGTGCTCTGGAATTTCTCTGCAGTCCTGGCCTATGTAGGACACCTGGAAATTAAATGGAACAGAAACAATGTGGCAAACGGAAATCACCCAGCTGCTCCCAACCCTGAAATTACGGATCCAGTGATTGCTTCCGCAACTTGAAACGCATGTTTCTCACACACAGAAAGGCCACATTTGTGACTGTTTTCCTGATCAAATCAGCTTTGGGGGCTCCAAGGACTCCACCAACAGCTCCCCTTTCCTGGTGCAGTTAACATGATGAAGACTAATCCCAGAACAATGGAAATTGGACTAAAATGGGCCAGATTCAGGTGTCTGAAAGAAACCTGATTATCAGAGCACGTTGTTATAACGGCAACAATCACCCTCTCACTCAGGGGCCTTTGCAACAACTGTCCCTCTGCCACTTCTCCCTCTCCTCCACTGCCCCCCAGTACCCTGGTATGCACATTACTCCATAAAAGACACAGCAGATTCACTTAACAGCATTCAACTTTTAGAGTGCTGGAACAAACAGGGTTGGAAAAGAAAACCTCCCCAGACCAACAATCCCATCCAATTGCCACTGTGTACAAAATGCCCTCCACACCCAAACAAAGCTGATTCGGGCAACGATGTGTGGTCTACCTCCAGAAGACCTCTGGCAACCAATCCCGCTCTGCACACAAAGCTATTCCTTAGGCATTCTTCTGTTTAGTTCAGATTATTAAGTACCCGTATGTGCCCAAATATTAAAAGGCTCAACTGAACTGAATCTGAACTGATTCCAGAACTGATGCCTGCGAGGTCAGTGGGCTTTCTCACTACCCTAATCACTCAGTTTTTGGAACCCATTTTTACAGACAGCAATCTGTGGGCAGACCAGCAACTAATCCCCAAACCATAAAACAAATCCATGGGACCAGCTGACCAACGGGCCACAGTGCATGCTGTTTCCCTAAAGTACAACATGCCCAAGCCCCAGGTAGAAATTCAAGCCCAACACACGGCTACAACCTTCTTCTGGTTTCCCTACAAGTCACATTCTTCCACACATATAGACACAGATGTCTTAGAATGAGAGAAAGAGGGACTTCCCAGGAGGGTGTTTCCTGGGGAAACAAGACTTTAGTGGCCGTCTTACATCCTTAGATATTAGGTTCACCCATGTGAACCACCAATATCCAACCATTTTAGAACCACAAAATAGCTTTCACATGGTTCAACCTAATACAAGCCACACTGAACCCTGACACCCTCAACATCTCCAGTCATCTCTCAACCTTCTTCTGTCCATGAGGACAAACTGCTGACAATGCAATATCCTGCATCCACTCTCCTCCAGTCACTTCATTCTAGGAGGAGAGAAAATAAGGAGAAAGGACAGAAAAATAGCTGACAGCAATAAAGTAATTTTGACTCAAGAAGTTACAGGCTAAAAAATAAAGGACTCTAAGCTCAATCTAGCAATCTCCCTCTTTCTACCTGATTTATTAATTTATTAATCTACCTAATTTATTAATTTCTAATAAATTAAGTTCTGCTTCCAAGCTAAAACAGAAATCATAGGCCAAAGAGAGACTGAGGATATAAGGCCCCAGTCTATCTGGGGACTTTGATTTCCCTCAGGATCTCTGCTCAATCAGCAGCTTATTCTGTATTGTTCATTCACAATGAACCCCAGGTTCATGGTCCTCACCAGAAAATCCATCCCGTTCACCCCGGCCTGCACCACTATCTTGTACATATTATCAATCAAGACCTGTGTAATATATATAGCAGAGATGTTGTGTTTTAGATGCAGAAACTGAGCTCCTTCCTCTTGGAATGACCAAGAACTAAATCTAGTAGAGACCCAGCTTGTCAAAACTTCTTATATTTTATACAAGGAAACTAAGACTCCAGAGGCCTGCCCAGCATAATACAGCTTCTTAGTGATAGAGCCCAGATCAAGTCCTATACCATAAGTAAGGACTTCCAACTTGGGGGCCATGGAGTGCTTACAAATCCACATGTGGGTGTGGGATTTCTCTCTCTCTTTTTTTTAAGAGATGGGGTCTCACTGTGTTGCTCAGGCTGATCTCGAACTCTAGACTCAAGAAATCCCCCTGCCTCAGCCTCCCAAAGTAGCTGGAATTGCAGGTAAAGCCACCATGCCAGGCAGACACGGGTTTTCTTTCTTTCTTTCTTTTCTAAGACAACATCTCACTTTGTCGCCCAGGCTGGAATACAATGGCATGGTCTCGGCTCACTGCAACCTCCGCCTCCCAGGTTCAAGTGATTCTCCTGCCTCAGGCTTTCAAGTAGCTGGGATTACAGATGCCTGCCAACATGCCTGGCTAATTTTTATATTTTTAGTAGACATGGGGTTTCACCATATTGGCCTGGCTGGTCTCAAACTCCTGACCTTGTGATGTGCCCACCTCAGCCTCCCAAAGTGCTAGGATTATAGGCATAAGCCACTGCACCCCACTGAGTTTTCTTGATCAACAAATGCCAACGGTGCATCTATCATCATGTTTTGGCTTCAAAATGAGTCTTCTGAGCTGAAAGGGCAAGAACTTTTTTCATGGTGTCACACTGAGGGCCCAAGAAGAGTGTTAGAGCCTGGGAAAAGAGAGGGATATTTGCTTCCCTTTTCCTTCTGTAGGAGTCCCCTTCAGAGAGGAAACAGAAGCACCAAGGAGAGCTATCACCACGAAGCATTTGGATCACTCACAACATCTGATGAGACTTTAGCAGCCTGTTTCATTACATGGTCTTAACTATACAACATCCAGGAAGACTAAGAAAAACACAACTTGTTCTCATTCCACAAAGATGGAGACCAAGTCTCAAAAGTTTAGCACGAGGACCAACCTGATGGGTAATCTACATGCTTAGACAACCCCTGTGGTAAACTAGAAGCTTTTAGAGATGTGAATTAAGCCGACCAGGCTGAAGGGCTCAAATCGGCTGGAAAAGGCTTAAAAGCAGCAAGCAGCCACTGCCAGGCATTGCAGGCGGCACTCGAAACTAGAAAAAAAAGACTTTTAAGAAGTACTTCTGAGGGAAGACATCAGGAAGCTTCTTAGAGCAAGGACCACCTACTGTAAAATTCAAGGCCAGAAGAGCCAAATCAAAAATAGTTTGCTTCTTCAGCAAAAGGGAGACGGGGTATAGAGATTAATAGATCTTAAATGGCACAGGAGCAAGGGCATGTCTAGAGCACCGTTGCATTTAGTCAATTACCTTTAGACTGCCTGGAGGAACAAAGACTTGAACTTATAATTTCTCTGTTTTCTATAATTTGTACCCTAAGACTTCCACCCTGGGTGGAATGATAACAGGAAGGGACACCATTGCCCAGCAAATGAAAATAAGATAAAGACCCCCAAGGAAAGGAAACTGCAAAGGGAAAGGAGTGTGTCTAGAAGGGGTCCTCAGCCATATACATACCAATCCCTCTGAGCAGAAGCTGCAGAAAGTGACCAAACTGCAGAAGACTGCAGCTTTCACTTCGCGCTAGGACTCTCTGGTTTCCGGAAAGGGCACTTCTGGAGATGATGAGCTTGTCAGCAGCCAGGTGTTGAGGAGATTATATTATGATGCCTGCTCCTAACCAGGGGTGGGAGATCCTCAATTTTAAATCTATAATACTGAGCTGGGCATAGTGGCACACACCTGTACTCACAGCTACTCAGGCGGCTGGGACAGGAAGACTGCTTGAGCTCAGGAGTTCGAGGCTGCAGTGAGCTATGATCACGCCACTGCATGTCAGCCTGGGCAACAGAGCAAGACCTTATCATTCATTCATAAATAAGTGAATATGTGGTACTGGAAGCTGTCAGAGTAGAAACAGCCATAGGTACAAGTCTGATTCCCAGTACTGCTACGACTAGCTGTGTTGTCATGGATGAGTCACTATCTTCAAGTCTGTTTCCTCCTCTGCAACTGGATTAACACTGTCTCCAAAGGTGTTAAGAATAATATAAAAAACAACATTTATTAAATGCCTATCATGGGCTTGTTATCTATTCAATCCTCATGAAACAGCCCCATGCATATTATTGTGCCTATTGTACTTACAGGAATGTGATGAGCTAACATATTAAAAGCACACAACACTGTCCTTGGCACCCAGTGGCCACTCTGTTAAATAGCTGTTGAATCAGACCACTATCCCCACAGAAGGGATTCGTTATTCCAGTATCTCTTGGGTGCAAGATTTCAGTTCCCAAATTCCAAGTTTCTATTTGTGTCTACAATCGTATTGTGATGAGCTAGAGGAAAAAGAAGAGAAATGACTTAATGCTGAACATAAATGATGCATTCAAGCCAAGAGAAGCCAAATGAAGTCAGATCCGTGGCGAATGAAAAGATTTTTATAGAGAAAAGCAATAGGGAGACTGCAACATCACCAAGCATGGGCATCACAGGCCTGCAGAGCTCCTAAAAATGAATTCCACAGCAGTCAGCCCACAGTGACATTAAAAGCAATGACCTAACTTCAAGTCAAGCAGCATTCATCTCATTAAATTGTTTAATTGTATAGGGTTTTTGCCTTTGCACTTAAATCATCCGTTTATTTGGGATTTATAGGTCTCTAGATATGGAATAGTTGTATCTGGCTTTATGTTTTTATATTTGAGTAACATTGTATTAAAAATGATATTCATACTATGGGCTCATAGGAAGTTAAAGAAGAATCTACTAAAGACTGACAAGCACTGTTCCATGCTACCCACATTCAAGGTGCTACCTCTTATAAAGGCGCAACCATTAGAAATCACTGGGAGCAGAATACCGAAAAAAAAACAACAAGAACAACACACAAATCCCCTAACCTGGGCAGTTTAGGAAACAGAGCACTAAGACCCCAGGGGCATTTTCCCAACCTACCTTCTTAGCTCCTCCCCAGGCAACTCCATCCTTCTAAAACGGTCCCCAAGGGCCTAAAATGTCTCACCACTTCCATGAATGCCCTTGGGCTATCTGGAGTAGGTTAAGAACAGGGGTGCAGGAAAGATCAAATCTAGGAAACAGAAGAAGAGCAAAGGGAAAGGAAGCACAGGAAAGTGCTCAGCTCCATGAACTTGCAGCAAGGTGCACCTGGAGAATATCACATCTGAAAATGCAGATACCTAGGGTTTGGGGGGCAGGGAACTCTCCTTCTTAGGCAGACACTCCTAGAGAAAGAAGAGGCCCTCTTGTCCAGCCCCTCCCTCTAGGCAGTCATATTAGCTCCCAGAAAAAAAAAAGAAAAAAAAAAAGCCCCTTTCCCTTTCAGCTGAACAAGACTGGTCATTTTTAACATCTCAGCAAGCTGGTAGCTCCCTGGTCTGCTCACTTGTGAACTCTGATCTTTCTCCAGCTCTCTCCTCCCAGGCGGGTCAAGGGACAGAGCCAGCATTCCTAAGCAACTGTTAAATGAGGGGTGTGCAGAGAGAATGGAAAGTCTAATTTCCAACAATGCCTGGCATGGCGTCTGGCACACAGTAGGCACTCAATAAATATGTGTACCTGATGAAACAAGACTCTGGAAAAGAAAACAGGCAGCTGCCAGTTTAATGGGCAGCACAGTTGGCCCTCACTGCATCTGCAGGAGCTGTAAAAGCCCCCAGAACCTCCTCTAGGGAGGAATCATTCTCTTCAGCCCAAAGTAATCTCAAAATCCAACTGTGCCTGACACTACCTGCCTTAGACAGTCCAGGACGAGAGCTTCCAAAACTCAGAATTTTTCTCCAGAGTGTGCAGGGAAAGGTGGGAAGTAAGAGGGCTCTGGCTTCATCAGAGAGTAGAGAAAAAGTTCAAGACAGAGACCTGGCTTTTCCCACAGGTAAGACACCTGGTCCCAGCGTGGCTGAGTTCATCCCTCCAGCAATGACTTTAAACACCTGAGGCTTCACTACAGAGCTGAAAGCACGTGAGGCTGGGTGTCTGGCACCCAGGGTTGAAACTGGAGTGTTCATCAGACGCCTGTTCAAGAAATCGGGTGTGGAAACAGAAGTGGAGGTCGGTGGCCTTCCACCGGCCTTTGGTAATGAGCCTATGGCTATGGTGTAGCCCATCCAGGGCAGGGCCCACCAGCACCCTTGTCTCCAGGAATGTGCTGGGACTTCGGTGGCCCTAGGCACTTTTGCCTTCGTAAACCCCTTCCTCCATTTACCAATAAGTAAATTTGTATGTTACAACTGCATTGGTATAAAGATGACTATATAAGTGTGATTTATCAAAATGGATTCTTTGACCAAAAGTTTTTAAAACTCGGATTATGAAATTGGAATATTTTCTGTGGGCCCCCAAAAGTACCGGGGCCTTCAGCATTGTGCCCACTGGGCCTGCTCAGTGAGACGCTAAGGGGAGAGGGAGCTCGGGGGATCTCGGGGGTGTTCTTCCCGCACAACCAGGGGGTGTGCCAGGACCGAAACGGGGTCTGTCTTCGACACACTAGGGCGAGCCTGAGCACCTGACACCCGCTGCAGATGCAGCCCCCTGAGGCGGGGACAGGGGTGTCTAGGCCCTGGGGAGCCCCTGAGCCCCGCTGTCCCTCCCCACACGTTCCGCACCCGGGGCGGAGGCGGGGCTGGCCGGGACTTACTTGAGTTCCACTGACCACGAGCCCGGCCATGGCGGCCAGGACGCGGGCGCGCGGCACGGAGCACGGGGGCGCGGCGGCGGCAACTGCTGGGAGCGCTGCAGGGGAGCGCGGCGGGCGTGCAGTTCCTCCCTGGGCAGTCAGCTGACCTGGCGGAAGCCGGAGGAGCTGGCGGGCCGCGGGAACCTCAGCCCCGCCGCGCGCCGCAGCCGCCGCCCCTCGGCCCGGCCCCCGCGCAAGTGAGCCCCGGCCGCCCGCTGCAACAGGTGGCCCTCGGCGCCCTGCGCCACGACGGCTGCCCGACTTCCCGCGCCACTGTCTCCCCCAGGTGTCCGAGGGCCCAACACCCCATGCCCACAACTTGATCGCGTTGGTCTGGGCCAGGCCCGGGGTGGGGGGGATTCCTATCAGGGGCTATCAGGGGCGCTCCATCTAAGCCGTTAGCTGTAGCCAGCCGGGCCTTTCCTGCATTTCACAATCTGCGTTACATAAGGGCCCTCAACTGCAGCGACGAGGAGCCGCTGGAGAGGGGGAAAGTCAGAAGGCTGAAGGACTCCGGGCGGGGCAGTTTCCATTTGTAGGAGGGGAGGACTGGCAGGGGGTTGAATTTCCCTATAAATAAAACGCTAGCTTTCCCTGTGGCCTCTAGGAGTTGACAATAATAAACACTGGGGAAGGATAATTGGCTGGTGACCCCAAATTTCGAGCTTCTCTTACTCTCCTGCTCCTCAGAGAGATTTGTGAGGCTTAAAGTCATCACTGGCATCCCCATCTGGAAGAGGTGGTCATGGTCCTCCTGTCTGGATGAAAGGAGGCCCAGTGGGCAGGTAACTCCCTAAACCCATGCCTGTTCTTCTCTGGAAGGATCCAGATTTTCTCCTCGCCTATTCTTGCCTCCAAGCCCAGGATGAACAGAGCTACCCGATAGCAGCTGGTTGCCATCTTCCACTCCTACTGCAGCTGAGAGCCAGCCCAGCCTTAACTGGCCTCTCTACCCTCCTACTTTAATTCCAGTGGGTATAGGCACCTCTCAAATAGAGAAGGGAAAATTGAGTCCTGACATGCTGGATCCTGATCTCACATACACTGCAGTTGCCTCAACTCAGTAGGCCTATTCGTAATTGTAGTTCCCCACCTCCACAGAGGGGGATATTCACAGGGCTTTGATTTCCTTTTCCCCGGCCTCTGGCACTTAGAAGCCCTTGGTTCTGCAGCTGATGATGACAGTCATGATCGTGGTTAAACATTTTGTGGCTGGCTTCGTCTCTCAGACAGCGCTGGTCCTAACACATTGTTAGGTGGGCCCTTGTCAGCATTCTGATGAGCATTGTTGATCTGGGAGAGTTGACCTTCCTGCCCTCTCTCAGCTGGGAGGGGCAGATTCCGCAGAGTGGAGCAGTAAGAATGCAGTCTTGACTGTATTTTCTTTGGGGGATTCCAGGAAATGCTGCAACCAAAGGTCCTACAGGCCAAAAAAGAAAGCTTACCTTCCAGAGATAAGGGGATCAAAGGGAACCTTCCCAGGCCTGCTGCCCCAAGGACCAGCTCCCCCGCCTCCTCCCTCCTTCTCTGCTGGACGCACCCTCTCTGATCCATTGTCCACTTTTGTCTGCTTTTCCTGCCTGAAAAAGAGGAAGTGGGCCGGGGGCCCAGCCAGCAGCCCTGCCCTCTGAACCTTTCAGTTCAGCTTTCCTAGAAAGGCTTTGACAGACAGAAGAGGACTTGCAGAAACAGGCCCAAGTCTACTCAAAGATGAAATTGGAGACCGGGTCCCCCTTCCCCGACCAGAAGGGGGTTAGTGAAGGTCATCTCATCCAACCCCCTGCCTCCATACACAGCTGGGTTGTCTAAGTGTAAGCTGTTCTGCAGACACTTCCAATGTCACCAAAGTGGACCGGCATCTTTCCCCCTTTCCATATCCTCTCACTACTGTTACCTCCCCCGCATAGCCCCAGGACAACCATTTTAAAAGTCCAATTTGATCCAACCTAAAATCTTTCCATGGCTCCTAATCAATTAATGATAAATACAGTCCAGAATCTCTAGTATATCTCTGAAGATCTCTTACAATCCCATCAAACCTTACCTCTTCAGCCACCTCTCCCACCTCTCCCATCTTCTCATTGGCTCTACAGAAGCTGTTAGTTTAGGCTGAAAATGCTTCCCCACCCACTGCTGTGTCTGCTCGGTGAACACATCAAGAAGACCAGTTGACGGTGCAGGGAAGGATCATGTGCAGAAGTCAGAAAAATTAAGATCAGGCTAGCTCTGTTTGAGGGGGCTTTAGTGTTGGAACTGTAAACTGATAATAATAGAGAGCTATTGAAAGTTCTTGAGCAGAGTAGTTGTCTACTAGGGCTGCTATAACAAAATGCCATAAGCTGGGCGCTTATAAACAATAGAAATTTATTTTTCACAGTTCTGGAGGCTGGGAAGCCAAAGATCACCGCAACCACGATTTGGTGTGTGATGATGGCCCACTTTCTGGTTCCTAGACAATGGCCTTCTTGCTGTGTCCTCAGATGGCAGAAGGGACAAGCTAGCTCTTGCGGGCCTCCTTTATAACCATACTAATCCCATTCCTGAGGGCTCCACACCAATGATCTAATCACACCCGCCCCAAGGCTCTACCTCCTAAGACCTTGGAGGTTATGATTTCAACATGCAAATTTGGGAGGGACACAAACATTCAGACCGTAACAGAAGTAATTTCCTAAATGTTACTGGGGGAGGACACCAGCAGGAACAAACTGAATTCACCTGTCCTTACTCCTCAGCTTTTGGAATTAGTCTTCAGAATAGAAGAACAAGGAGAAAGATGAGGGGAAAGGAGAATAGAAGGAACAGAAGGAGGAACTGGGGGAAAGGGAGAGAGGAAAAATGGAAAAGAAAAAGAATCTGTGTCCCTGGACCAAGACTGGAAGCCAGGAGGGGGACATCGTTCTACCTCCTCATCACCATTTGGAACAAAAAGGAACATTAAACAGAAATAGTACAGTTCTTCCGTGATGTATCCCTCCCTTGGGGAGGGGAGAAAGTAAAAAAATAAACACTAAGACTGACCCAGGAGCTAGGCAAATAATTCCCCTGGAATACAATGAGTTTACAAGAGTAAACATAGGCGATGAGTCCTCAACACAGCTCTTTCTGCCCCAGCTCCAGGAACACTGAGGTAAAAGATGGGCCCACTCAGTCACAGTCCCCTCACCCTATTCCATGACTAATTGAAAGTAAGCTGTGAGCTTCCTATCCTGCTCCATCTTATCACAGCCGCTGTGCCCCAGGTTCTGGCCTTGTGCTAGGCACCGGGGACATCCATGACTAATACGCACGCTCAGACTTGTGCACAGCCGTTTGCAGCATTGTGTCAACAAGAAGCGCTGCCATTGTGATCCTGTTTTCTGAACCCCAAATTGAAGCAGGTAGCCCAGCTTGTACAAGTGCACTCAGTCCACAGAACAGAAAGTTCAAATCCAGCCTATGCTGACCACCCTGGGCCTGTGAATTCTGGAGCTCAGACGGGCACATGGAGATCAACAAGGTTCAACACATACAACTGGACATTCCCTTATCGCCCTTGATGAAGAGGGCAATATTTTATTCCTACTGTCATCATTGTTATTATTATTCTGCTTTGGCAGAAGAGGCCCTTTGCCTCGAGTCCTTCCTCCATCACATTCCTGGGGACAAAGAGGAAGATCCTGTTTATTTCCAATCAAGGGAGTTGATTCTGGGGTCGGCCAGAACCAGTGAAACAGGAACTGATTCCTTAAATCTCCCAACTCAGCATGAGCAGCTAAGAGAAGAACAGAGCCAGTTAACAAAGTTTTGTTAGCATTCCTAACTATCCTTAGCTGCATTTCTCTTCAGCCTGGCCTCATTTCTTTCAGGCCCAGCCCCTGGGCAGGTTAAGATGGTTGCTGCTGTAATTAATCATGCCCCGGGCCCTCGTTCAGACTTACCACATTCAGATTTCAATTAAAAAAAAAAAAAAAGGTGGGGTGTCTGCTTATGAAATGTTCTTTGTTGCTGAAGCAGCCCCCTTTCGGCCTAAAGGAAAAATTCTAGGACGTGCAGGAAAGAAGAGAGGTTTCCAGGGCCCTCTCCAAAGTACTTGCACATATGTGAGGGGATTGAGGATAATCTGTGCTCCAAAGCCCCTTCAGTACCCCCCAATCAGAACAAACTGAATTTTTTAAAAATATATATTAAATACCATCATAATATCTAGCATGAGTGTTCATTCCATAAATGTTTATTATATTTATTATTTACAATTATAATAATTATCTTTACACAGTGCCTCTAGTTTTCCTTCTCTTTTTTTTTTTGAGACGGGGTCCCAGCCTAGAGTGCAGTGGTGCAATCACAGCTCACCACAGCCTCGACCTCCCAGCTCAGTTGATCCTCCAGCCTCAACCTTCCAAGTAGCTGGGACTACAGGCACACACCACCACGCCTGGCCAAATGTTTTTGAATTTTTTGTAGAGATGGGATTTTGCCATGTTGTCCAGGCTGGTCTTAAACTCCAGGGGTCAAGTGACCCGCCCACCTCAGCCTCCCACAGTACTTGGGTTACAGGCATGAACCACCACACCTGGCTGTTTTCCTTCCCTTTAGGTCTTAAAAGGTTTTGTTGTTGCGTCTCTGTTAAAATGCAAACAATAGGGCTGAGCATGGTGGCTCATACCTGTAATCCAGCACTGAGACCAGCCTGGTCAACATAGTAAGACTCTCTTGCTACAAAAATTAAAATAAAATGCAAACATTAGCTGGGTTTGGAGAATGGAGTGGGTTTGAGGAAGGTAGGGGTGGGAAAGGAGCTTTTGCTTTTCACTCCATTTCTTCTGTGATTTTGGTAACATGCACAAACTACTTTTATAATTAAAAATAAAAAAGGAGGAGACTGGCACAGGATAGAGAGAATTTACCATGAAAACTACTGTCTGCTAATCTCTTAGTACTTTTTAAACAAATCCTGAAATATTTCCCAATTTACCTGGAACTCGCCGCGATTCCAAGTCCTTAGCTGGGCTCCTGAGGCCGGTCATCTCTAACTTAGAGGTGGGGGGGCTTACACTGGACTTTCAGGAAGGAAAGAGAACCCACCGACTGTCTATTTCCAGTGGGAGCAGCTTTCCAGAATCCCAACTTGACTTGAAGAGGTTCTGCCACTTGGAAGTTTGGGAAGGGCTCCTCCTACCCTCATTAAAATACATAGAACTTGGCAGTCAGTTCAGTAAGGCGGTCCTCTGGCATCTATATTTTTCTTAAGTACTCCCAAAGTAATTTGGATTTATGATCATCCAAAACTCACTGCTGTAGAAATCATCTACCCCAATTACTGATGAGGGAAACTGAGGCTTAAAGGGCAGAAGGGACTTGATCAAGGTCACCCAGCAAATGAGCAGGTGACCCCAGGCCAGAAAAGAAAACAGGACTCCTCCTATGTCCCACTAAAAACAGGATAAGGAGGCTGGTAGGAGCACCTGAAAGATGCCATTTCACATCTAATCGCTTCTTGTCACGTTGCAACCATTTTCCTCATATGGAGCCTCATGCTGATGGATCAGAAATAACATTTTGAAAGTTATATCTGCAAGGAAATGGCTATTAATGTTCTTCCTCTCCTTTTAGAGTGCCGAGGAATACATATTAATTTTCTCTCTACTTATATTGCCTATTTGCAAATTGTATTCACTACCCAGTGCTCCAATTTGTCCTACCCCTGAAGAGATTATGATGAATAAATGTGTTCCTGGAAATAAAGTAAAAAATTTGTCATCTAGATTTATTTTTATAATTATTTACAGGAATTATTTTAGAATATATATGGGGGGGCAATAATAATAATGTGCACATGAGGGTTCTGATGTGATTACCAATATTAATGCCGTGTCTTTTCCCACTTCTCTGAAAGAAGCCCAGGCTCTTTTCACAGCTGTGATCCTGGGGCAAAGCAAGTGTCAAGTGCACCTGGTAGCAGCAGTGCCAGAGGCTGAGGACCAGCTGAAGGTTGATCCTGCTGGAGCATTGTGGTTGGTGCTGCCCTGGCCTAGGAGAGCTGGGTTCAAGGACTAGCTTTGCTACAAACTTTCTAAGTGCTCATGGATGAATCCTTTCATTCCTAAGGTCTTCAGCTTCCTCAAATGCAAACTAACTGATCTAAGGAGCTGTTGATTACTAAGATAAAAATGCACATCTCCCCAGATCTATTGTATCTTTCAAAATACTAGGAGAGAATAATTTGAATGTTTCTAGCATAAAGAAAGACAAATATTTAGGATAATGGATATCTGCACTACACTGAGGCCAGGCACAGTGGCTCATGCCTATAATCCCAGCACTTTGGGATTCTGAGGTGGGACAATCAGTTGAACTCAGGTATTTGAGACCAGCCTGGGCAAGATGGTAGATCACCATCTCTACAAAAAATTGTTTAAAATAACTATCTGGGAACAGTGGCACACACCTATAATCCCAGCTATTTGAGAGGCTAAGGCAGAAGGATCCCTTGACCCCAGGAGTTGGAGGCTGCAGTGAGCTGCAGTTGCACCACTGCACTCCAGCATAAGCAACAGAACAAGACTCCATCTCAAAAAAACGACATTGATCTGATCTTTACAAATCATATGAATGTATTATATGTATATTATATGTACTCCCAAGATAGATACATCTATTATGTATCAATAAAAAGAAATTAAAACAAAAAGAATACATTCACTAGTAGATATTTATTGAGTACCTACTATGTGCCCAGCACTGGGAGGACAAACAGTAACAAGACAGATACAGTCCTTACTTCTGTGAGGCTTACATTATGATGGGAGGAGATGGTTAACAAATAGAAACACAATTTCAAGTTGCCGAAATGCCTCATTTCAGATAGCAGTCATGCATACTATGTAGACAGAAGTCCGACAATGTGAGACAGGGTATGGGAGGTGGGGGTGCTAACCTAGACACAGAGTCCAAGGTCTTTGCTCACCCTCCAAAGCCTTTCCCTTATGAAATCCTTGAGGAGCCAATCACAGGATGGATTTGGGCCCCATGCACCCCCTCTGCACAATGCTATTGTGATGCACAAATGGCACAGCCTTAGACAGCTGTGGAATGTTCTGGGAAGGCCTCTCTCAAGGGAGCAACATTTGAGCTGAAGTCAGAATCATGAGATGGAGCCAGCCATGGGAAGGCCTGGGAGAAGGGTTTGCAGAGGGGATAGCAAACACATTCTCTTAGTCTCATGTAGTCACTTTGCTTATGCTTGAGTGGTGAACTTGAACTTGAGTGTTTCCATGGACAAAGTGTCATCCCAGCCAGAAAGAAGAGTCTTCCTGTACAGTTGCACTTGGCTTTGACTTGCTCCTCAGCTCCAAATCACAGGTGGACTAAGGCTTCGGGATGCAGCAGCTGGAAGCAGTCATTCATGGACACACAGAGGTTCTACAGCTCTATAAAGCATCTGTGGTTTCTTGAAGAGGGAAACACAGAAGGCGTGCTGGCCCTTATGCATGCCTGCGCTGGCACAGAATCTCCCAGACACACAAAAGCATACAAACAGGTTCGGCATGATAGCTCACACCTGTAATCCCAACACTTTGGGAGGCCAAGGTAGGTGGATCACTTAAGGTCAGCAGCTTGAGACCAACATGGCCAACATGATGAAACATCATCTCCATTAAAAATACAAAAATTAGGCAGGTGTGGTGGCGGGTGCCTGTGATCCCAGCTACTCGGGAGGCTGAGGCAGGAGAATCATTTGAACCCAGGAGGCAGAGGCTGCAGTGAGCTGAGATCACACCACGGCACTCCAGCCTGAGCAACAGAGCAAGACTTTGTCTCAAAACAAAAAGAAACCCACAAACATACATGTAAGCACATAGCCAGGTGAGACACATGCCAACCTTGGATCCATGTATTCCACTTCACAGCTATGGTCTGAACCCTGAATCCCATTCCTAGGCACACCCTGGTCTCCCATCTCACAGAAATAGCTACCAGTGGCCAGTAGAGAATGCAGACATTATAGATACCAGTACTTACTTAGACCTGAGAGGATTTATAGCTTATGCTGAGGTGCTAGAAATTTATTCATTCAATTCATTCATTCAAAAAATACTTGTTGAGTGCCTACTATTTGCCTGACATGAATCTAAACTCTGGAGACATACCTATAAAAAAGAAAAGAAAAAGAAAATTTCTACCCTTGAGGAGCCTACTTTCAATAGGAGAATAGAAAATAAACAAGGAGGCCAGGCATGGTGGCTCACGCCTATAATTCCAGCACTTTGGGAGGCAGAGGTGGGTGGATCACTTGAGCCCAGGAGTTCAAGACCAGCCTGGCCAACATGGCAAGAGCCTGTCTCTACAAAAATACCAAAAAATTAGCTGGGCATGGTGGTGCGCACCTGTAGTTCAAGCTACTTGGAAGGCTTAAGTGGGAGGATCACTCGAGCCCAGGAGGATGAGACTGCAGTGAGCTGTGATCTCAGCACTCAAGTCTGGGTAACAGCAACACCCTGTCTCAAAATAAAAAAAGAAAGAAAGAAAAGAAACAAGTAAATACAGAGTGTGATGAGTGCTGTGGAGAACAATACAGCAGGGAAGGGGGACAAGAGTGCCGGGTACACAGGGTGATCAGGGAAGGCCCCACTGAGAAAGTGAGACGAAGCCGAGAGCTCCAAGAAGTGGGGGAGAGCCAAGTGAACTTCTAGGGGGAAAATGTGCCTAGCAATGGAACAGCAAGTGCAAAGGCCCTGAGGTATGAGGATGCCTGGCACATTTGGGCTGGAGTTAGTGACGATGGGGGAGAGTGATGGTCAGTGACATCACAGGGCAGGTGTGAAGGGGACAGATCATGTAGGGCCAAATAGGCGAGGTTAGGACTTGTGTTTGTACTCCACCTGAGATGGACAGGGTTTTTTGCTTTATTTTTGTTTTTGTTTTTGAGACAGGGTCTTGCTCTGCCACCCAGGCTGGAGTGTAGTGGAATGATCCAGGCTCACTGCAGCCTCAACCTCCCAGGCTCAAGCAATTCTCCCACCTCAGCCACCAGAGGACCTGGGACTATAGGCATGCATCACTACACCTGGCTAATTTCTTTTTAAATTTTTTGTGGAGATGAGGTTTTGCCATGTTGCCCAGGCTGGTCTCAAACTCCTGAGCTCAAGGGATCCACCCACCTCGGCCTCCCAAAGTGCTGGGATTACAGGCGTGAGCACTCCTGGCTGAGTGGGGGGATCCTCCTGAGAGGAGGATGGGCCTGCTCTGACCCACATTTTGTAAAGAATGCTCTGGCTTCTGTGTTGGGAACAGATCATGGAGAAGGGAAGGAAGACAGAGGCTGGGAAGGCCAGGCAGCAGGTAGTCACAGGAATTCTGCAGACTATGAGCAGTGCCTGAATATATTTTGAAGATGGCATCAACAGAATTTTATGATGGATTGGATGGACATGGAAAGTGTAAAGAACCAATAGTCAAGGGTAGCTCCAAAGTGTTTGCCTGAGCAGCCAGACTCACTCTGTCGCCAGGCTGGAGTGCAGTGGTGCGATCTCGGCTCACTACAACCTCTACCTCCTGGGTTCAAGTGATTCTTCTGCCTCAGCCTCCTAAATAGCTGGGATTACAGGTGTGTGAGACCTCCTTGCAGATCTCAGCTTCATCTCACTTTCTCAGTGGGGCCTTCCCTGATCACCCTGTGCACCCGGCACTCCTGTCCCCTTCCCTGCTGTATTGTTCTCCACAACACATGCCCAACTAATTTTTGTATTTTTAGTACAGACGGGGTTTCACCACGTTGGCCAGGATGATCTCAATCTCCTGCTTCATGATCCGCCCGCCTCCCAAAGTACTGGGATTACAGGCGTGAGCCACCGTGCCCGGCCTCTCCATCCCTTGCTTCTTGCCGTCTTAGCTTCATCTTACTTCCTCAGTGGGCTCTTCCCTAATCACCCTGTCCACCGTGGCACTCCCGTCCCCCTTCCCTGATGTATTCTTCTCCACAACACTCATCACTCTCTATTTGCTTATTTCTTTTCTATTCCCCTACTGAAAGTAAGCTCCACAGGGTGGAATTTGTTTTTTTCTTTTTTTTTTTCCACCACTCTGTTCCCAAAGTGTAGATTCATGTCAGGCATTCAACAGATTGTAGGCATTCAACAAATAGTTTGTTCTTATTTTTTGTTGCGTTTTGTTTTGTTTGACAGAGACAGGGTCTGGCTCTGTCCCCAGCCCGGAGTACAGTGGTAAGATCTTGGCTCACTGCAACCTCTGGCCCCCAGGCTCAAGTGATCCTCCAACTTCAGCCTCCCAAGTAGCTAAGACCACAGGTACACACCACCACGCCCAGCTAAGTTTTGTATTTTTGTAGAGACAGGGTTTCACCATGTTGCCCAGGCCAGTCTGGAACTCCTGAGCTCAAGCAATCTGCTCACCTTGGCCTCCCGAAGTGTTGGGATTATAGGCTGAGCCGCTGTACCCAGCCCAACAAATATTTTTTAAATAAATGGATTGAAATGGGTGAGAGTATTGGAGGGTAAAGAGTATCAGGGGTCATTTTTAGTCTGATAAGTTTGAGATTTTTTTTTTTTTTTTTTTTTTTTTGAGACAGAGTCTCATTCTCTTACCCAGGCTGGAGTACAGTGGTGAGATCTTGGCTCACTACAACCTCCACCTCCCAGGTTCAAGCGATTCTCCTGCCTCAGTTTCCCACGTAGCTGGGATTACAGGCACCCGCCACCACACCTGGCTAATTTTTTGTATTTTTAGTAGAAACGGGGTTTCTCCATGTTGCCCAAGCTGGTTTCAAACTCCCAAATTCAGACAATCTGCCCATGTCAGCCTCCCAAAATGCTGGGATTACAGGTGTGAGCCACCGTGCCCGGCCTGAGATGATTTTGATGTTTATTTTCAGTTGGCTGGGTTTTAGAGACAGGGTTTTGCTGTCACCCAGGCTGGAGTGCCGTAGAGCAATCAGAGCTCACTGTCACATCAAAATCCTGAGCTCAAGTGATCCTCCAGCCTCACCCTCCCAAAGTACCGGGATTACAGGCATGAGCCACTGTGCCTGGCCTTGATTTTGAGGCTTATAGGTGGAGCTGACAAGAAGGAAATTGGATACATGAGTGTGGACTTCAAGAGACAGATCTGGAGTAGAGTTAGAAATTTGGGAGTCTTCAGCTTTCAGGTGTCATATAAAGCCACACGACAGTATGAAAAAGATCTGAAAATTTAGCTCTAGAACCCTCCAACAGTTAGAGGTCAGAGAAAATGGAAGAATAACAGAGATTGAGACGGAGCAACTGGAGAGGAAAGGGGGAACCAAAGGCAAGTTAGGGCCTGGGGGCCGAGAAACAAACGTGATCAGAAAAGACAGGGTTCCCAAGGTGACAACTTCTGTTGCCAAGGATCACCAGGGGATGTTGAAAGCATGGAGCTAACAGGATATTTGAATGGTTTCTAAAGCATCACCTCACAGGCCAGGTAATCCCAGCACTTTGGGAGGCCGAAGCGGGCGGATCACTTGAGGTCAGGAGTTTGACACCAGCCTGGCCGACATGATGAAACCCTGTCTCTACTAAAAATACAAAAATTAGCCAGGCATGGTGGCAGACACCTGTAATCCCATCTACTCAGGAGGCTGAGGCAGGAGAATCACTTGAACCTGGGAGGCGAAGGTTGCAGTGATCTGAGATCATGCCACTGCACTCCAGCCTGGATGACAGAGTGAGACTCCATCTCAAATAAATAAAAATAAACACAAAGTGTCAGCCCACAGGACACAGACAAATGGGAATTTACAAAGGGGAAAGTATACCTCTACAGTGGAGAGATCCAGGGTCACAATCCTAAGCAAAAGCTCAGACAGTATCTCCAAAGGTGATACGACCTCACATCATGAGCCTCTGATGTGATTTCGATGGGAAGTACACACCACCTGCATGCTGTTCTTGCCATAAAAAGTTTAACCAGAATCCACGGGTGAAGAAACAGAGAAATGTAGAAAGTGGAATACTTTTATGAAACAATGGTGTTAGACTATCCAAAATAATATAATGAAAGAAAAAAAAGGCTGGGAGAACAGTTGTACATAAAATGGACCAAGGAGACATGACAACAAGTCATGCTCCTTTATTGAACACTGGAACTGGGGGAGGGACAGCTAAAAAGACATGTTAGGGACACCTGGGAACATTTACATGTGAACTGTTTGATGATATTACTGACGATATTGAATTAACATTGCTTTTCTTCGTTGTGCTAATTGTCTCGTGGTTTCGTAAGAGAATATCCTTTTCCCTAGGACATGAAAAAATCAGGAGTAGACATCAAGAAGCCCACAGCTTTCAAATGGTTCTTAAAAATTGTGTGTGGGAGGGTGGGGAGGAGAGGGAGAACCAATGTGGCAAAGTGTTGAGGTGAAGGGTACTGGGCATTCATTGTCCTATTCTTTACATTTTTTCATATGTTTGAAAATGTTATAAATACAATGTGAAGGACTGACTAAAAGGAAGATGGCGTGATCAACTGCCTCCAGTGCTAGTTAAGACCAAGTAAACGGAGGACTGAGAATTAACTTTGAATTTAATAACATGTGAGTCACTGGTCACCTTGACGATGTGGACAGCAAAAGAGGCAGGAAGGGGCCAAAAAGGAGAGAGCTGAGCAGGCCTCACTTTGAGGACAATAGGAGTAAAATTAATCCCATCGGCATTTTAGAGCAATCAGTCTGACAGTTTGGGAGAGGATGGCTGAGAAGGGGAAGAGTAGGAAAATGTTCTCACAGGCTCTAAAAGTGTATCCCACCCCTGGAAAGGGTGGTGAGGGCCTGAAGAGAGAGGATAGCAATAGGGATGCAAGGGGACAGGAGGGGTGATTGCAAAGAGATTGCTGCCCAACTGCCTTGACTTAATAATGCCTGTTTGGGAGCAAAGGATGAAGGAGCTTAGATGCTGTCATTTACCAAAATACCACATGATAAGTTTCGTTTGGGACATGATGCATTTTAAAGTCTTCATGCATTGTGTCCTCCTCTGGGGAAAGCAGCAGATGGGACTCTAGGACCAACAGCCTGCCTAAGCACCGGGGAGGTCATTCCCACACTGCGCTCTGTGCCTTGGATGTCTGCACCACGCTTAGGGTGCTGGGGGCCACAACTTTGGGCGTGACAGTGACCTGAAGATGCTTTTGTTTGTAAAGCCTCCGAATCCTGGGAATCTCTCTCTCCAGAACCCCTTTCAAGTCCTGCTCTCCCTGTGGACAGACTTTCCCTAATGCTCTGGCTTTCAGTGACTGCTCTGGGGTCTGAAATGTCATTTTAATGCATCTTCTGTGTGATGCCTCCGAAGGGGCTCTGAGTTCTGGGATGGAAGTTTTGCTCCCTGTCAGGTGTGATGAAATGTTGAACCCTCCCTACCGCCACCACTTTTTTTTTTTTTTT